TTCTTCTTAAGTTTATATTATTTTTAGAAGATGTATGCGTACAACGTTCCCCAACTCTCCCCACTCCCCACCCCCCATTGCGATCATTGCACTTGCCCGGCGGGCAAATGCAATGATCGCAAAAAAAATTTGTCGGTGATTTTTTTCAGGGATTTTAAAGTAATTTTGAATGATAAATAAAAAAATTTTTGCGTTCATTGCATTTGCCCGCCGGGCAAGTGCAATGAACGCAAAAAAACAATTGTCTGTGATTTTGTCTGTGATTTTAAAGTAATTTTGAGCGATAATTTATTTTATTTTTTTTGCGATCATTGCACTTGCCCGGCGGGCAAGTGCGATGATCGCAAAAAAAATTTGTCTGTGATTTTTTCAGGGATTTTAAAGTAATTTTGAATGATAACATTTTTTTTTTTGCGATCATTGCATTTGCCCGCCGGGCAAGTGCGATGATCGCAAAAAAAAATTGTCAGTGATTTTGTCGGTGATTTTAAAGTCATTTTGAGTGCTATTTTTTTTTTTTTTTTGCAATCATTGCACTTGCCCGGCGGGCAAATGCAATGATCGCAAAAAAAATATGTCTGTGATTTTTTCAGGGATTTTAAAGTAATTTTGAATGATAAATAAAAAAAAATTTGCGATCATTGCATTTGCCCGCCGGGCAAGTGCAATGATCGCAAAAAAAATTGTCAGTGATTTTGTTTGTAATTTAAAGTAATTTTGAATGATAAATAATTTTTTTTGCGATCACTGCATTTGCCCGCCAGGCAAGTGCAAAGATCGCAAAAAAAAATTGTCGGTGATTTTAAAGTAATTTTGAATGATAAATCTTTTTTTTTTGCGATCGTTGCATTTGCCCGCCGGGCAAGTGCAATGATCGCAAAAAAAAATTGTCAGTGATTTTGTTTTGCGATGGTTAACATCGAGCCCAGAAAAGTATTTTCAAACAGTCTTCATCATTAAAAGTGCAGCCAAGGTCTCTCTGCCAGACAATAATCACTGTTTTTTGTCATCTCTTTTATTTCTGGTTTAATGGAACATCTAAAATAGAGAATTTGATTTTAAACATTTGTATTAAGAAGATTATTTTAAATAGAAGGCGGAACAGTTTGTCATCATTAAGCATTAGCTCATTTTACCGTAAATGACCTTTAAAATGAACCGTCAAAGTCCTTTCTGAGTTGGTTTGTTGCTATAAATGTCATCCACCAAGAATTAATGACGTCTTTGCTTCTTTTCAGGACCTGAAGAAGTCATTCGATAAATCCTGGAAGGATTACGAGACCAAACTGTAAGAATATTAATATTACTTTCAAATTGGTGCAGATTCAGTAAAGGGTAAAGAGGCGGATAATGAGGAAAGTGATCAATTATATTTAAGGAACTTTTTTTTTTTTTTTGTCCTGTTTAAGCAACAGTTTGAGTCATATATTAGAAATGTTAAATACTTTCAGATTGGTGTGATTTTCTGTATTTATTACCACATCTTGAACTTGTTGCAGAGCAAAGATTGAGAAAGAGAAACGAGAACACGCCAAGCAGCACGGCATGATTCGGACGGAGTTCAGCGGAGGAGAAATCGCAGAGGATATGGAGAAAGAAAGACGAACTTTCCAGCTTCAGATGTGTGAGGTTAGTGATACATGAAATATCGTGACGACACAAGCAGTGAGCCGAGGGCTGGACTGCTGGGTGAACTGGTCTGGTTTTAGTGGTTTTTGGGGGAACCATGTGGAAGTGAAATGATGTGAACCGCTTTGAGAAAGTCTCAGCAGATTAGTTTTCTCAAACTGGACAAACAGACCTGGTCTGAGTCATCACTGCTTTCATGTAATTATTCATTTTAATTCACTCAGACTTACTTTTGATGTTTGGAAGTGATCTTTATAAACAGTTTTTTTCTTCTTTGAACTATCAGAATGAAACAGAAACTATATGTCTGGGTTTTTTTTTTATTTGTAGTGATAGTTACCTTCTTGCATAAATTGATTAGTGCAAACAAAACAATCCACTGGACTTTGTGTCCAAGTTTGAAGACGTTACGCTTCGCATTCATCAAACCTGCGGAGACCTAAACTAGACGTTTGTCAAATTAGCAAGGAAATCCAAAAGACGCAGCAGAACATAACGGTGTGCAGATGGAACGCACAAATATCGCCATCCCATATGTTGCTAAATCTGAAAAACTGAAGAGGATTTT